TCTCTCTCTCTCTCTCTCTCTCTCTCTCTCTCTCTCTCTCTCTCTCTCTCTCTCTCACACACACACACACACACACACACACACACACACGAAAACACCTACACACACTCACGTATGAGCACAGAAGGGGTATGATGTTCACGTACGATACCAGAAATAGGAAGATCACAGATGGACCAGCTTGCTACTCTGCTTGGCACGTATCCTTCAGTCTCCTCTTTAGTTTCTGTCGCGTGCAGAGGATAGCATGGGGGGAGAGAGAGAGAGAGAGAGAGAGAGAGAGAGAGAGAGAGAGAGAGAGAGAGAGAGAGAGAAGGCCCTCTCGACGGCGTAGATGATGGACCACTTGTCTCGTCTACAGCACGTAACAGCAGGCCTTCACATCATCTACTTCGATCCCTAGCTTTTTCGCTCTATTTGACGAGAAAAAAAAACACTGACGTCAACACACAGATTTGGCCTTCTGCAGCTATGCACTACACGGGACTGAGAGGATGGACCCTGGGGGAGAGAGAGAGAGAGAGAGAGAGAGAGAGAGAGAGAGAGAGAGAGAGAGACAGGTGATGAGGGTAATGCCGCCGAGAGAGCGAAGAAATGAGATGTCCCAGGATAGCATGTTATGTCTGTCTCATGTCAAGGTAGCTGATGGAGGTAATGGGCCTCGTTTCACTACTCTCGACATGTGCAAAACAAGAGTGAATCTTTCGCTAGAACGTGTAAGCATACACCAGGACCTCCATGATTGTTTTTTTTCTTTTTCCTGTCGGGCTGCTCCATCTAAACCGAGTCCAGCGTCCCATTGAAGCATCTCATAACAGAAAAAAGAAAAAAAAAGAAGAAACATCTTGCAAGGTGCTTATTTTCCTAGGGCTGTGGTCGTTTCTGTGCTCAACGGTGTGGCTCCGTTGTCCCCTGGGGCGAGGTCCCACTGGCAAACAGGATTGGATGGAACACCTGAATCTGGATGATTTTTAGCCACAAATGCAGGTGCTCTTTTCCTCACAAGCGTCCAGATTCAGGCGTTCAATCCAATCCTCTTTGCTGCCGTCTTCGCCCGAATAGAACGCGTGGTCATGATAGCCGTATTTGGTGCACTTTTCAGTCCAGATGCCGCTATAATAACCCGGCGTTCCATTCCGAAGAAGACGGTAGTGGGACCTCGCCGCCCGTGCTCCTACTATCACCCAATGGCATCCCATCTTGGAGCCCCCTTGTCTAACTGACCAGCCCTATTCTTTTTTCCTTTTCTTTTTTTTTTTTTCTTTTTTTTTTATGACCAGGACGTGGTCCCACTAGCAAAAGGGGATCCGATCGAATGCCTGAATCTGGAGGAGGTTATGGAGATGTGCAGGAAATCGAGATTGAACTGCTTTTCTGCATCCATAAAACACATCCACATTCAGGAGCTCGATCCTATCCTTTTCGCTAGTGGGACCTAGGACCTGCTGGTTGTTGTTATGTTTTTTTGTTTTTTGTTTTTGTTCTTTATTCCGAAGGGCGACGGACTTGAGCTGAGTTGGTTGCTCATGCAAGTGGCATTCAGGAGGTTGTGGGTTCAAGCCCCAAGGCCACCAGGGGCGCAGTTAGTGCCAACGGACTGTGATAGTCCTCTGGATACCCCTGATCGGTATTAGCGGGGTCTATGACCAACACGGGTGTGACCGTGTGAGTGTGAGCGCGAGCGGGTTGTGTGTGGTGTGTGGGAAAGTGTTGGCCATAGCCTCTGCTGCTACTCGATGAGGGGTGGGGGACGATGAGAAAGGGAGGGGCACCTAGCTACTGGCAAAATGCTCGGTCTTTGCCTTAGCCGGACCCCCACCGGCGGCCCCACCCCATCTCTAACTAACCCTGTTGGGGGCGGGGGGCAACATGAATTACCTCGTTTGCGAGGCCCTATGCTTGCAGGGGTCCTCTCTATATAGTCTTAGGGCCTCGCCACACAGGCTGTCGAAATGTGCAAAACGAGAATGAACTTCCCGCTAGAACATGGCCAGATGCACCTGGCACATTTTTGTCGTTTTCACGTTTCGAAAGCCTGTGTGGCCAGGCCCTTAGGAGTAGTGGTAGGTAGTGAAAGGAGAAAAAGAATTTGAGAGAAGAACATAGTGTATAAAGAGTAGTGGTAGGTAGTGAAAGGAGAAAAAGAATTTGAGAGAAGAACATAGTGTATAAAGAAAAATATGTGGCTTTTTAAAAAAAAAAAAAAAAAAAAAAAAAAAAAAAAAAAAAAAAAAAAAAGATATCATCGTTGAACCGTCCAGTAGACAGGCAGACGGCAAGATGCAGAGGAGGGAGGGGTATCTTTCAGTCCCGCAGTTTAGGGGCTGTGTTCGAAAGGTAGGGAGGAACTAGATAGAATATGTTAGCTTTGCCCTTGGAGGTCTCGGGCTGTGTAGTTAGTATTTGATTGGCAAAATTAGTACTTGGTAGAATTGTATTAGTACTTGGTAGAATTTGTTTGTGGTTTATCTTTGGTGTTCTGTTGGAGCGTGGGATAGGCATAGTGCCTCCCTTTTTGAGGTTTGTGAGGTGTTTAGGGACGTGAGGCGTTTGTTCTTTTCTTTTCCTTTTGATGGTTTGTTCGGCGTTTATGGCCGTGGAGGACTTGTTTCTTTTTTTCCCTTTTCTTCCCAGGGTAGGGGAATGTCAGAGCAGCGGTCTGGATTCGGCCGTTTCTGCTACTGGACTATAATCCCCTACGCCTGCACCATAATCTGGGTAATGGTCCCAGCGGTCACTGTTTTTTCTTTTTTTTTTTTCTTTTTTTTTTTTCTTTTTTTTTTTCTTTTTTTTTTTTCTCTTTTTTATAGGAAAAACACCACATTGTTGCTCATTATCAAAAAAAGTCACCGGGGGTGGCCAATCCCCACATAACGGCCAATACTGGGAGCATTACCCAGCTTCGCTTTTTACGAGACCAAAAGGACCCGATTGAACCAGTCAGGAATGGAGAGGGAAGGGAGAAGGAAAGGCAAGGGAGAGCTAGGTGAAAGAGAACATCTATTCTACTCAATGCTTACACACCCACTACTTCCCCTGCTATCCCTACCCTCAACAGGCCTAAGTCGACCCACCCGAGCCTAAAGCGGCTCAGATTCTACTGTAAGCCTCTCTGTAGCACCGCGTTTCTGCTGCACGCAGGTATGCATATTGCCCTCCTGTGGGCCTGAAAACCGAGAAAGCCAGGTACACCCCAAAACAGGACCCCTTTCCCATCCCCGACCTATACCACTAGAATGAAAAGCCTCGGGAAGAAAATAACGATCTAATTCTGTACTTGGTGAATAGGAGAGGTGACACCAAAAGGGAAGGAAAGGAGGAACCCAAAACCCAGGAAAACGGAACAAGAAGAAACAACAAAACACCAAGAAAAACCAAAAACAACATGTAAGCTAACCACTGACCATTGCCACCAAAAACCTTCAGAATTCTCGTATCCTAGACTAACTCATTCTTCAAGCTGCTCACTTGCTCAGCCATGGTGAGATGACCAATTTGCCTTCAACCGTAACCGCCGCCAGCTGGCAACCTCTTGCCCAGGTGAACAGGAACCATTGCAAGCCCTTGGGGGTACGACCTCTATTCGCTTTACGAATCCAGTCTGCATGGATCATCAACTGAATGGTTGCCTTTATCTTGGCTTTAATTGCAGCGTTTGCCGACCATTCCCCTCTGAACAAGATACTGTTGCGGTGCCGACCATTCCCCTCTGAACAAGATACTGTTGCGGTCCTCCCATATTACCCACATAATGGCCGATCTGATCGCTTGGGCCATATAGCCCCATCCCTTCTGCTTAAAGAAAAGAGCTGGTAAGAAACCTGTTTGAACCCACTTCTGGTCCCATACCAGGGCTGAGCCCAGCCCCTGCCAGTGTAAAGCCCACCAGTGCCAGATACGAGATGAGGCTGGGCAGTCCCACACCAGGTGAGACAAAGTCTCCTCATGTCTGTTTGCACATCGCACACAGGTCATAGTCACAGGCATCCCTTTGTCTGCTAACCATTGCGCAGGTGGGATTGCCGAATGAGAGAGAAGCCAGAGAAGACCTGCCATTTTTAGGCTAGGCATTAGTTGCAGTTGAGTCCAGAGAAATTGCCAGCGTTCCTTAGGCGGCGAAGCCTCCATATGAAAACATCTTGCAGCTCGATCACTTATCTCTACTATGAAGCCCCCAGAACAGCGCAGGACCTCTCTCCCCACTTCAGTGTTGTAATGATCTAAGGTGATCGAGTGCTGGTCCCGTTGCCAGCTACAAGTGACTGGATCAATTCTCAGATCAGTGATTGGAGCTCCACCCAGGACCAAAGTTGGAGTACTGTGTCCATTGCCACCTTCCTCATATGTTACCCGAACAGGGATCAGAGTACGGTCAGTGGGCAGGAACACTTTTCCCCTTTTCCTCATCATCTGCTTCCCGGGAGGGCCCTGCAACTGCCACTCCGTTGCTGGCCAACTGTCGTTATCTACCTCCTCTGCGTCACTGCCCGTCCCAGTGGCTGCCTGATCTTCAATCTGATCCTCAATCTGATAAAACTTCTGGTTATGCACTCCCTCTCCGTATTCTTTGTACCATGCTCCCGTCTTCGGACGGTTATCACTTTTCAGGAGATTTATCCATTCTACCGGTATAGCTTGAATTAGGCTTCCCAGCTTGGCTCTGACCTCACGCAGTCTGCCAAGTCTCTGTCGGACTTCAGTTTCAGATTTCCAATCAAGTCTTTCTACTGCCCAAATATCCCGGACCTGCGATACTCCCTTTTCCACCCATTTCCTTCCGAAAGCTCCTTTCTGGTTGGATGCCGGGAACGTATCTCCTGACCTTTGCTTGATGGCCTGATTCTCAAACAATGGTTGAACCAGGACTTCGTCTCTAGTTACAGGCTCCCGCACATTGGGTTTCTTTAACTTACGCCAGGCGATCCACCAGGCCAGACCAATAGCTGATCTAGGCCTGCGGTTCTGGAAGGAGGAGATCTGGAGACAAACCCAGACGTCTTCCTTTCTTGACAAACCAAACTCCTGCTGCAAAATATATTGCATAATTTCTAACCAGCTGCGCTTCTCGGCCTGATTGCAGGCTTTCTGAAGCCACTTGCCGAGGAGTGCCAGATTTTGCTTCTCAGGGTCTAAGACGCCCAGACCTCCGTCTTTCTTCGGTTGAGTTACCTTGGACCAAGAGACCTTGGTGACAAAGCCTCCCTGGTCTTCTCCACTCGGTTTCCACAAGTAGTGTGCTGCCCATGACATGATCTTTTGTAGCGTCGCACGAGATATTAAGATAACTGCTGCAATGTGCCACATAAGAGGAAGGATTGAGGTGTTGATGATTGCGGCCCGACCCAGCAAAGAGAGACCTGCCGCTCCTCTACATTTCTTTACTCTGGCCTCTACTCTAGATGCCAAGATTGCATCTTGAGTAGGCTTGCTGTTGGTTAGGGAGACTTGTACTCCCAAATAGCGCTCCGATTCTTCTTCCTTGATTCTCTTCATAGTCCAATCATCCGTCAATTCAAATTCCGCAGGCAGGAAGTACATTGATTTATCCCAATTAACTTTTGCCTCTGACAACGATTCGTACTTGTCAAGAACTGCCTTTGTCTCTCGCAGTGACTCATCAGTTGCTTCTGTAATCAAGAGGAGGTCATCTGCGATTGCCCCGGTAAGTACCTCGACTCCTTCCCTCAGCTGCAAGCCTTTGACCAACGGTGCTGCTCTCAGTGCATTTAACACCACTTCCATTTGTACAACGAATAATAGGGGTGCGAGTGGGCATCCTTGCCTAAGCGAGCGGGAGAGTGAAAAGGTACGGGATCTCCTCCCATTAACTAGGACAGAATGGTTTTACTTTCTAACCCGCCTCCATCAAGAGGAGGTCACTGTTTTTTCCGGGTTGGATTGTGGAGGGATTCGCCGCCTCCTTTTTTCTTCTGTTAATGGAATGCAAAGTTGATTTGTAAAAAAAAAAAAAAAAAAAAAAAAAAGAACCGTCCAGCCGCAGGCAATTCAGAATGGTTTTATTTTCTACTTCTGAGGGCATCTGGATTCGAACTTGAGTCTGTGGGCATGGCCACACCACTTTCGAAATGTGTAAAATGAGAAAAAACTTCCTGCTAGAACATGGCCAAGTGCACCCACCACATTTTTTTCGCATTTAGACAGTGGTGTGGAGAGGCCCTGTATTTGAACAGTTCAGGGGTGTACTAACTGAGTTAGACCGTTGGTTGCAGTTGTTATGTGTGTGTTTCTTTTTTTTTTTTTTTTTTTTTTTTTTTTCCAAGTTCAACTTCAACATGCAGTTGTTATGTGTTT